GAAGATAAACAGGTGTCGGATATGTGATGTGGGAAGATAAACATAGGTGGTGGATATGGGATGTGGGAAGATAAACATAGGAGGTAGATATGGGATGTGGGAAGATAAACATAGGCGGTGGATATGTGATGTGGGAAGATAAACAAAGGTGGCGGATATGTGATGTGGGAAGATAAACATGCATGTAGGTGGTGGATATGTGATGTGGGAAGATAAACATAGGTGGTGGATATGTGATGTGGGAAGATAAACATACATGTAGGTGGTGGATATGGGATGTGGGAAGATAAACATAGGAGGTAGATATGGGATGTGGGAAGATAAACAGGTGTCGGATATGTGATCTGGGAAGATAAACATAGGTGATGGATATGTCATGTAGGGAGATAAACATAGGTAATGGATATATGATGGGGGAAGATAAACACAGGTGTCGGATATGTGATGTGGCAAGATAAACACAGGTGTCGGATATGTGATGTGGAAAGATAAACAAAGGTGGTGGATATGTGATGTGGGAAGATAAACATAGGTGGTGGATATGTGATGTTGGAAGATAAGCATTGGTGGTAGATATGGGATGTGGGAAGATAAACGGGTGTCGGATATGTGATGTTGGAAGATAAACAGGTGTCGGATATGTGATGTGAGAAGATAAACATAGGTTGCGGATATGTGATGTGGGAAGATAAACAAAGGTGGCGGATATGTGATGTGGGAAGATAAACATAGGTGGTGGATATATGTGGTGTGGGAAGATACCCAAAGGTCGTGGATAAATGTAATGTTGGAAGATAAACATAGGTGGTGGATATGTGATGTGGGACGATAAACATAGGTGGTTGATATGTGATGTGGGGAGATGAAAGCAGGTGTCTGATATAAGATGTGGGAAGAGAAACATTGGTGGTGGAATTGTGATGTGGCAAGATAAGCATAGGGGATAGATATGTGATGTGGCAAGATAAACACAGGTGTCGGATATGTGATGTGGAAAGATAAACAAAGGTGGCGGATATGTGATGTGGGAAGATAAACATAGGAGGTAGATATGGGATGTGGGAAGATAAACATAGGAGGTAGATATGGGATGTGGGAAGATAAACAGGTGTCGGATATGTGATGTCGGAAGATAAACATAGGTGGTGGATATGGGATGTGGGAAGATAAACATAGGAGGTAGATATGGGATGTGGGAAGATAAACATAGGCGGTGGATATGTGATGTGGGAAGATAAACAAAGGTGGCGGATATGTGATGTGGGAAGATAAACATGCATGTAGGTGGTGGATATGTGATGTGGGAAGATAAACATAGGTGGTGGATATGTGATGTGGGAAGATAAACATACATGTAGGTGGTGGATATGGGATGTGGGAAGATAAACATAGGAGGTAGATATGGGATGTGGGAAGATAAACAGGTGTCGGATATGTGATGTGGGAAGATAAACATACCTGGTGGATATGTGATGTTGGAAGATAAACAAAGGTGGTGGATATGTGATGTTGGAAGATAAGCATTGGTGGTAGATATGTCATGTGGGGAGATAAACATAGGTAATGGATATGTGATGTGGCAAGATAAACACAGGTGTCGGATATGTGATGTGGAAAGATAAACAAAGGTGGCGGATATGTGATGTGGGAAAATAAACATAGGTGGTGGATATGTGATGTTGGAAGATAAGCATTGGTGGTAGATATGGGATGTGGGAAGATAAACGGGTGTCGGATATGTGATGTTGGAAGATAAACAAAGGTGGCGGATATGTGATGTGGGAAGATAAACATGCATGTAGGTGATGGATATGTGATGTGGGACGATAAACATAGGTGGTGGATATGTGATGTCGGAAGATAAAAGCAGGTGTCTGATATAAGATGTGGGAAGAGAAACATTGGTGGTGGAAATGTGATGTGGCAAGATAAGCATAGGGGATAGATATGTGATGTGGGAAGATAAACACAGGTGTCGGATATGTGATGTTGGAAGATAAGCATTGGTGGTGGATATGTGATGTGGGAAGATAAACACTGGTTGTGGATATGTGATGTGGCAAGATAAAGAAAGGTGGTGGATATGATGATGATAATAATACTTTGAGCAGAAAGGAGTCAGTAAGGGATGTTTGGGTTGTAAGGATCAATTGCTGGTTCAGAAAACGATCCCTAAAGAAGAGGCTAAAATTTTCCACTGTCACCTCTCAGTGTGTTGTATACTTGAATGTGTTGACCTTCCCGAGCGGCTCCTAGTTTTATGAATTGCTGTTCAACTCAGCTTAAGACGTATTCGTAGAGGCAGGTGGTGACTTGGGAATCCTTTTCTATTAGAAGAGGATTTTTTTCAGGGAGATTCTTTTAGTCATTTGCGTTTCTGTTTGTCACTAAATCCTTTAAGCATGATGCTTAGCAAAGAGGACGGTTATCATCCTGGACCGCATCAACACAGATCCCCAGCACCCCTTACTCGCCTCCTTCACACGGATGACCTTGAACTTATTGCCATCTCGTGGAAGGTCTGGCCTATACGTATTTGGGAATGCAGGTTAGGGACAAACTCCAGAATGCCCATATCAAGGAAAAACTTCGGACAGAGTACAAATGTAGACTTAAGAAAATCTGGAGTTCAGAGCTAAAAGCTCACGAGAAAGTTAAAGCCACAAATACTTATGCTGTACCTGTCCTTTCATATTCCTTTGGTGTTGTTGATTGGACAAGAACTTCAAACAAGAATTTCAAGGTATTGACACCCTCGCACGAAAGATCATGTCAGACAATAGATCCTTCCAACCTCGCTCTTCCCTCAATCGCTTATATTTACCACTTATAACGGGAGGGCGTGGTTTGATCAACTTTGGGGCTCTTCATGATAGAATTGTTTTGTTCACTTTTGCACAAATTTATTTGTCTGATGATCCTTTTGTGAAGCATGTCAAGACTCATGAATGAAAACAAGGCATTCCACAGTTTTCTAAAATGAGCCTTTGATGTGGGACATAATCTCATTTTGTTGATGGTTCTGTAATGCTGGACGGTACTTGTCTCATTCACAAATATGGGGAAATTAGATGACTCATTTAGTTGCATTTTTGGTGGCATGATGTTAAATATTATGTTCAGGAGAAAAATTGCCAACTGAATAAGTTTTTTTTGGTATAAGATAAAAACACATGTGCGCACCATGTCCAGGAACGACCCCCCCCCCCCCCCCCCCCACACACACACACAAAAAAAAAAAAGATGACATGAAATAATCATCATTTTACATATTAAATGATTCACTGTAAAATTAGTTTTAAAGAGGAAAATTCGTCCAAAAATATTACAATCTATAGATGGATTTGAGAAGATGTAATCAGCTGATTAGTTGCCTGAGTTGGTATTTATAGAATCTTGCCTGATCAATCCTGCTGACAGTTCCTTTGGGACCCTGTTTTCCGTTTACAATATTTCACAGTATATAAGACAATATTTAATTTCCTCTTAATTGGGTTTATAACATTGATTCTAGCGAACAAATAAACGAATAATGTATTTACATTCACTAAAAAGGTGGCCTATTTAGTGTTGCGCATTGAGAATGATAGTCACGGTGAGACGAATGCAAATTAAGTTATGGGCCAAGTAATCCAAAACCATTAACAAATATCAAATCACATTACTAATTCTCAAAACGTTACTCCCATCAGCTTTCAATAGTGAGCAAAAAACATAACATGAATGCTAACAAGTGGCTTGCCTGTCACGGAAACCTCGTCTGAGTTGTCTTCGCTAGATCCTTTTTACCTGTTAATGGTGCAGTTGTCTTACTGATCATATTCGAAAACGAGGCTTGGGGGAATCCCGAGTGGTTACTAAACACGGGAAATCTTTAACTACGAGCTCGACTTTTTATGGCGTATTGTTGTGGGAGAAAAAGGATTAACCACTGTGTTCGGTTGTTACCGAAAAATCTACACATTCGTGATACACGCTCTGGTACAAACATCGGCGGAATGAATATAATATTAAATCGAACGATAACACTAGGGCTCTTCAGCCTCTCGGGCCGTCGGGTAGCCTAGTGGTTAAAGCGTTAGCTCGTCACGCCGAAGACCCGGGTTCGATTCCCGACATGGGTACAATGTGTGAAGCCCATTTCTGGTGTCCCCCGCCGTGATATTGCTGGAATATTGCTAAAAGCGGCGTAAAACCGTACTCACTCACTCACTCTTCAGTCTTTCGGCATGGTGACTCTATGACAGGCTGTAACGTCTTTGTCAATTGAGCGACAGTCAAACGGATTAGCATTCTGAGTTCGCCAGGACCCCGGGTTTCTGTCGCATTACTTAAATATAGTGCTGAACCTATTTCCGAACTCGTCCATATTTGAATCCCCAAATGGTTTGGTTGTACCAACGCTGTCAAAAGTAAGGAAACGCTTGAGAGACATCGCCCCTACGACATTGACGTGTCCCAGAACGCCCCGGGATGTTCTAAACCCATTTCACCCATTTCGAATCCTCAAAGGATTTGCTTGTACCAACTCCGTTAAAAGATAGTCACCGTTTGCAGGACATCGCCACTCAGAAATTGGCGTGTGCCAGAGTTAACAAGAGTATTCTAAACCCATTTCCCACCTAGACAATGTTCGAACTCCGATAATCGCCTCTTAAGACAAGCATGGGTTGCTGAAGACCATTTCTTACCCTCATCTTCAAGGATAGTAAACATTGTGCAGAAGACACTTGACAGTGAAAGGGAGTTAATCCTTGGTTTTCTGAGCCATTTATTTAGTATGTCGGTGAAAATAATAGTCAGAATCAAAATCCATTATAGGCGCAACTAAAACATATCCAAAATCACTTAAGACGATTTGTTGTGTTGTGTATGGAGACAATTCTCAGAAAGTTTGAACACATTTCATGCAGTGGATTCAGAGGAGAAGGGATTTGAAGACATGTACCAAACAACCCTGTGAAAACCTTGAATCCAATATGGCTCCCAAACCAAGTAACTAATGACCAAAGTTAAAGAACAAATAATGTCAAGCACCTAAAGCAGCAGACACATGCAAGGTTTCAAAGTAATCGGAGAAGCGGTTTTGGAGCAATAGGGCAAAATATAGCTTAAAAATTGACTTGTTTTTCAGTTATATGCCCTTGGTCTTTGAGCCTACAGCCTTGGGAATGTTTACGTATCTAGAACTTAACTGTCTTCATACACATACAAAATTTCAACTAAATCCAGCCACTGGTTACTTTGCTAGCTCTGGTACAAAAATCGACGGAATATTAATCGGCGGAGTTATTGTCACTTTTTGAGTATACGGATCAATTTGCCATTATGGATATCGTGTTTTTTATCCTTGAAATCAGAATATTACACTTAGTGTACGATTGTTTCGTGCGCCTTAGTAGACATTCCATTCCGTCCTGTAACATTTACGGTATATCACTGAAAACAGCAAGAAGAGACCATTCAACAACCAGGTGGCTATAGCTAGGCCAAGGGCAGCCTTGTATAAGTTGGAAGACTTGCACTCAGCTACGTCGACCCAGTAAGTACCTGGAAACAGTAAGCAACATCTGTCAATATCTTATGATTTTAATCTTATTTTCTTGGACACTAGTGGACCATTGATTGATGATTACATTTGTATTACAATCGACGTGATGTACATACATCTCATTTAACTGAAAATAATATACTACGAAGTGACATCGCTTGATATTTATATTTAAAAACTAAATGGTTCAATACTTTACAGGATATTGAATTTATGTTTAGGCTATTTGTTTGGCAAGTCACACACACATATGCGTGATACGACCAAAGCAGGCTAACAAAAAATGATGCTTGTCCAGCATAACCTTTGCTTCGTGAGATATAATTGTTTATCTCTAATATTTGCAACGCTATTTTTTTACTATCAAACAGCTAAGATACAGATCACTACCAAACGATACATTGAACAATATATAAACATGTACTATCCTTTTCAAGAAAACTATGCCAATCCCTTACATGAATACATTGCATACGAGATATAAATTCGAACAAAAAACATTGAGGATGACTTCTACACTGGTATTTCGAAATGTTGTCAAACCCCAAGCTGAACAATAAAGATTTACATTTTGCGACCCAATTAATGTTACCATTTTTTCCTGCCTTCTCTTAGGATGGTGATAATTTGGCATACACAATAACTTTATCCAGTAGCCAATAACTCTAAGGAGTTGACAATTTGACACCCCACTCGCATGCCACTGTATGTGTCGTTTCTAGACCTCCCAGACCTCGGAACCACGGAGAAGAACTGGAACTATTTTATCAATTTTATATTAATTTAATTTATATATTCTTTAAATTTAAAAGATGTATGTCATGCCAAAGAGGTTGTAACAAGGAATGACAAAAGACAGAACAACAAACATTGCTTTTGTGCCTGGACAGGAGTCTGGTATAAGTGATGCCCAAATACTTATGGGAAGATGCACTCTCCAAGTTTGAACCAAATCTCTTTTCGTGACAACACTCAACATATTTCTTAACAACGAGTGTGTTCTTTTTGTTATCGGCACTAACGTCTAAATCATAATCAATAATACTTTTGTAGAACAGCAATACGCTTCTGAAGTTCACATATGGTATTTGAGAATGGAATAATATCGGCTGCAAACGATAACAAAAATAATTGAAATATCAGGGCGAAGAAATGTCCTAGTTCGCAATTCCGTTCGACCTCAGCAGCTGAATCAGTACTGAACATCGAAATTCGAAGGAACCTACACCTCTTGGACACTGCACTATTTATAAAATGAATATTTAAACATACCAGTGGCCTTAACAGCTGCATAAATAAATGGTATATCTTTTGTGAAAAACACCATTATTCACTAATACTGACCATAGTTCATCCGGTTAACTTTATTGCAAGACACATGATCATGAATATCAGTAACATCTTCATCTGCTATATCGTCAAACACATCTTCATAACGATCAACCTACCGTTTCGGGGACATAATATGTTTTGTCGGTGGTATATAAATAACAATTAAGCTGCAAGTGTTAGTGTATTGTAGTATATACTTCTGTCTCGGTGATGGATCGCTAGTGCTTCTATAACCTGAACTTCGGATGCCGCTACGTCCACTAACAGACTTGATACTAATTGGTCCAGGATGCTTCGACTGTGAAGAAAGATATCCAGGGCTGAGCACTTCAGGAATATTGTATCTCTGTGTATTAGCCGAATTTCGAATGTCACAAACATAATCTTTAAAGCCGGTTTTCATTTCATCAGAGTTTTGGAAAATTCTAAATAACAAAGAATTTATCTTTCGACTTTATTGTTCTATCCTTTCTAGTTTCGGGTTATGGGGTAGCCAAGTGGTTTAAGCGTTTACTCGTCACGCCGAAACCCGGGTTTAAATCCCCACATGGGTACAATGTCCATTTCTGGTAAGTATTGCCTAAAGCGGCGTACTCCCTCACTCACCCTCTAGATGTATCAATGTTTTTCTATCCCTAATAACAGGTGCAAGATCACTTTTCAATTCGAAAAGGGTTACAACTGGTTGATTTGTCGAGTCCTTCCTGGGTGAGATACATAAGCAATTCTTAGATGCCAATTCTACAGTGGATCTAAACTGTTTTGTAACCAATTTGTACTCTCTTGTGTTTACAGTTTTAGGTTTCAATATTTATGTGGTATTTAAGTTGGTATGCTCTGGGCACAAGCCTTTTGCTTGTAAGGGCTTGTAAATGCATCCCCTATATTTGCAATACTTTTTTTCTTTACTATACAGTTGGAATATTTACTATTAACTGTCCAATGTAAACTTTTGGTGTATATTTCGCAACTTTTGGCATACAAGCGTGCTCTTTCTACCCAGATGTCAAAGAGCGTCATGCGATGCTTGCTCAGAAGTTGTTTGCCCAAGGTTAAAATATTTAAGGCCTCAAAGCTTTCAAAAAGCTTAATGGTAGACATGTGGACGACATTTTAAAATTTGACGAATCAGTGACAAAAATGAAGTCCGATGCAATTCCCTATTTTGACTTGTACCATATGTTTCCGAGCTTTTTCAGGTTAACAATTGACTTGACTTTGCATGTGTTTGTGACGGGTGCCACCGGTGGGGCAGGACTATTTGTTAGTGATTCACAAACACATGCTCATGATTGGAATCGTACAATCGACATGACTTTATACAGATATTGCTATTGGATACGCAAAGGGTTTTGTCGCTTTATTTAATTATGAAATACAATTTAACGTTATAATGTTCAAAGTTTGTTTATATAGAAACATCTCTCGTGAATTAACTTGAGGATATGAGCTTATCGGAGACCACTAATATGGTAAATATTACGTGTTTCATTTAAATCAATTCTGTGTCAAAATATGGCGCCTGTACCCCCTGCTTGTTTTTAGGGCTGAGAAAAGTGGGCCGTGTATACTACTATTATTTAAATGCCTAAATTTCTTTGACGAACCTGCGATTCCCCAGCCAGTGCAGATAAGTCCTACTGTGACACATGCAGTGTAGTAGGTTACCCTCTTCATGCGACGGCCACAGCGGAACACATAGCACATCAGAATGGGGATGATGGTGGCGAGCAGTCCTTGAAAGATCAGATAAATGCCCAGGATGATACTGCCAGGGCAGTTGTGAAAGAAGACAGCAGCTGAAGAAAATAGAAAAGACGGGTGAGATGAGGTGAAATGGAGTTTAACGTCGGGTTCAAGATTATTGCAACTATATAGCGACGTGCATGTGGTGTGCATGAGTGTGTGTGTGGCTGCTTGAAAAAGCCCGGACTAATGCCGATTTTATAGTGCTCGGCAACTCAGATACCATGCCGCAGTTTAACATCAATATCTCACTCAGACATACATCCTTCAAAAAAAGAAACGCACAGGTAGAATTTTAGTATATTTATTGTACCTAATAAATCGATATACTTTATTTAATATCATAGATACAAATATGAAATTTTGGAGCTCGATAGTCACATGTTATCGTTGTACAAAGGCATTGACAGCTGTTCATTGTCATGTCACATAAGGCCACAAGGTTGCGCTGAACTCAGGATCTCGTGTGACCGACCCGGGCAGCAATCACGGCTCTGCATCTCCTCGGCACTAACTGAATAAGTGTACGAATTCTGTTCTGCTTGTAACGCGTTGGCCAGTTGTGGGAGTGTCTGCGACGTGTTCTGACAGTGACGCACACGTCGATCGAGTTCATCCGATTGGGTTGGGGTCTGGAGATTTCGACGGCAAGGGTAAGACGTTGATGTTGGCATTATGAAGGTAGTCTACAGTGACACGAGCTGTGTGCAGTGGAGCGTTGTCCTGTTTAAACAGCTCCGTTTGGCGGTCAATGATTGGAAGAAGGTGGGGATGAAGAATTTGATTCATGTAGTGATTTGCTGTCTAGTTTCCCTGAACCAAAACCAAGTCAGATCTCGTGGTGTAGGATATGGCCCCTCACACCATGACACTATCGCCACCGAAAATGTGTCGCTGCCGATGGATCTGTTGCAACACAGTTCCTGACAATCGTCCGATATCCTCCTCAAACCAAGGATGCGTCCTGCAGTCTCCATAGCTGTGGCATTGCGATGACGCAGGTGGAATAATCTAATGTAGCGATCCTGTGCAGGGATGGTAACTCTTGGTCGGTCGGTTCTCGGACGGTCTGCAGTGGAATTGAACTGTGTGTATCAGTCTTAAAGGCGGCAAATGGTGCTGTGGTGGACGTTTGAGTGGCGTGCATCAGAAGACTGCGATTCCCCTCTTTGGATACGTCCTATCGCGATGTTCCGATCGGCAGTGCTGAGTCTCAGCATTTTCGAATTTGAAACATGTTAACAATTGAATGACAAATTATTGGCTTATGCTTGCCATAACTTGCACGTGCATTTTGCGTTACTGTTGCCTCTATGCCATTTTTGAACAAGTGTGAAAACAATGCCGTTTAAGACATTGCAAATCGACAATTGCTGCGTTTTGAGGCACCGTTTGTCGAATATCGGGTCACCAACATTTTCCAATAACATATATCCAATTTAAATACCAAATTTTTATCTGTAAACAGATTCAATGAACTACATACTACCTGTGCGTTTGAAGAGTGTATACTGTTTCTGTCATTTCGGTTAATCCTACACAAATTATAACATTGCATACATTGTTGAATATGTGAAAGATCACATTTGGTCTTGAATATTTGAAATAAAAATTAACAAACCGAAACTAGCTCTTTATGACTACAATAAATCACCTGCAGCCATCGATCCTATTCCATATGCCTGTCAAGGATTAATCCTGACGTCTTCAATGTTGTTACTAATAAGGCATAAATTGGAATGTAAATATACTCTTCAAAAAAATAAACGCAATATATTTTTCATACTTTTGGCTATAGCTGTAGCCAGCCAGGGTTTTAATGTCAAGGCACAAGGCTGTGGGATCGGTTTCAACAGCATGGGTCAACACGTGATTGGCCAAGGTCGGGACCACCAAGAGTAACCACCCTTGCCAAAGATCGCTACATCCGACTGCGTCACCTACGTGAAAGGACGACCACAGCCACCTCAACCGCATCCAAAATACCCGGACTGCGCAGAATCTCCGACCAGACCGTACGAAACCGTTTAAGAGCAGCAGGTCTACGAGCAAGAGGTCAAGTGCGACGCGTCATATTGAGTCGACAACATCGTAAATATCGACTCCATTCGTGTCGTCAACACAGGGTACTGTACGGCCACAACTGCGATGAAGAAATGTCTGGTTCAGCGACGAATCATGATTTCTCCTCTGATACATCAACGAAATTCTCCTTCCACACGTCCTCACAATTTCAGCCAACGGCAACGGTGTACTCCGACTGGACAACGCTCGACCGGATCCAGTACGTTCACAAGTGCTTGCCTACACAACAACAACGTTGATGTTCTCTCCTGACCCTCAAGATCCCCGAATTTGAACACGATAGAGCATCTGTTGGATGAATTGAATAGACGTCAACCACAAGCCCAGACGTTGCAGCAGTTGCCTTTTGTACTTTTCCTGTGTACCGACAATCTGACTCAATACCTTGTACGGTTCCTCGTATAAATGTATTTTCCTACCTCACACAAATCTGGCTTAGCGTTTCTTTTCTTTTTGAAGAGTATATCTGCATTTTTTCAAAGCAATTCTGGTATTAGACAAGGTGAACATAAACCCTCTTTGCTATTCTTTTTCTTTATTAATGACAGTGAACATGGTGTGCTTTAATTAAAATAACACGATAGTAAAGGTATAAACCTTGAATATATGCATGATAAGAATGCCATGCGTGGGATACAATTCATTATTGTATTATATGCTCATGATGTGGCTTTTGTAGCGATGATTCATTAGAATTTACAAAAGTCACTTAATGGATTTCATTATTGTTTTTCAAAATGAAAACTTAGCGTTAATCTTTCAAAGACTTTTGAGTTTTGAGAAATAAACTTGAAACTTGACATTAGTTATGGATACGGTAATTACGGACAGAAAAAGTCTCCTGTAAGTGTTCAAATGGTTTAATTTGTCATACTGACTTCAGAAAATGCTTGATTTCACGTGATTTTCACGCAAAAACGGTAGAACAACAAGGCCGATGATCTTGTCGCGGTAGCACTGTCCATTGAGATTTATCTCCGAACCGATCTTCTTCTACGACACAATGATTGACGTAACGTTCACCTCGATGTCGGTACACTCGAATCCGTCCATCGCTGTGGCTGAGGTGAAAACGAGACTCGTCACTGAATAGAACTTCTCCCCACTGCATGGCCGTCCAGCGTAGACGCTGTTTGCACCTCTATAGACGTGCTTAGCGGTGGTTTCCTGTCAAGATGGGACGTCCGGCGGGTCTTCTGGCGACAATCCCTGCACATCTGAGGCGGCGACGTACGGTTTGTGAAGAAATTCGTAGAAGGCCAGGGATGCTTATTGAAGTCACTGTTGCTGGCTGTCTTGTCCATTATTGGTTACGCGTGGCCTGCCACTCTGAGGATGGTCTCTGACTGCATTCGTATGTTGCCAACGTTGTCATAAACACCAAATGGTGTTTCTGTGGACGTTAAATTGTCTTGCAACATCACGTTGACTCGATCCTGCTTCAAGCATACCAATGGCTCACAGGCGCTCATTTTCGGGCAGGCGTGGCATTTCGGATTGCTGAATAATTGAGTAATTTTGCTGTTTTTCTGGTACACAATGCATATGGAAACCCGTTAACGCACATGTTTTATGCCCATTCTTGGGTAGTGAAATGCATGGGGCTTGCATAAATGTCAACTTTTGCATGGAATGCATGCTGTTCTGTTGCGTTTTTGTGACTTGATTCCATACATGTACTTAAATATTGAAAACCAAACTTTACTTGTTTGACAAATACACTACAATATTGGTGTCACAGGAACTTTTGTTGTTGAGTATATGTTATTGAACCCCAACCCTCAGTGAATGTTTACATACAATAAAATCTTCTACTATCAGTACTCTGGAGACAATCCGCCACAGATTAGGCATTCACCGTAAGTCAGAGTACATCAGAGTCCATACACACATTCTGTGTAAAAGGAAGGTTTAACATGCTTACACGTGTATAAACTAGCAATAGATTGCACATACCATTATGAAATCACTTATACCATCCCAGAGCCCATATAAGTTTGAGCTTACCTATGATAAGCATGGTCAAACACTGCAGTAGGCACAGGATAGAATACACATTGTTGAAAACTGAAAATACAAAAGAGTTATGTCAACTTACAGCACACACAAAAGCATGGCGACAGAAAGAAATGTATTTGCTGTTGCCTTCCCTCTGTGTTGGTATTACACGGAAGAAATAGAAGCAACCCCACACCCAACTTTTCCGGAATGCTTCAACAGTGTCCATTAAGTGGCATTTGAACGCAAACAAGCCCAAAGCAATGTTAATATGAATTCCTCTTGCTACATTACATACACAATTATAATCACTTCTGTTTTATTGACCTTGACCTTCAGTCTCATTCTTGAGGCGAAGTCACGTTCATGATGGCTGCTCTTACACACGTGCGTGTGTGTCGGTTTGTCCTGTTTTGGACAAATGGCGGTTTTATAGCGCTAGCCCACTGAGATTCCAGCCTGGCACCAGTCAGGGAAACAATAAGCGTCACCTTTGGACGTCTTTTGGTAACACCAACCGGGGATCGAACGTCCGACCTTCTGCCCGAAACGCTCTGTACACTAAACCAGGAACTCACAAGAAATCATGCATATAAACTTTCACGATCCTATCACAAGTGCTCTGTATGTTGCCTACACAAAATTTTGAGGTTGTCTTCATCACACCAAAGTGGTCTTGACACTCAACGTCATCCACTCATATGCGATAAAATTACATATTGCCAACTGAGTAGATTTGTTAACATACTTCTTGAATGAATCTTTTTATGTCATTTCATGAGTGAATGACTTACAAAGTGTTCGTGACATGTGACAAATCCATGACATACGACATTGAGAGTATATCATGGGTGATTGGATCATGCTTAGCGTTTTCATGAAATATACCGACATGTAAAAAAGGTTTCATTGCAATACATCTAGTGAGCTTAACCTGATAGGGTGATCACCTGAAAGAGTGAGTGAACAGGTTTTTTTACCTTCAGTCAGCAATAAATATGCTTGATCACTGCATCATTTAAGTAATGAGTTATATGGTAGCATAAGCAGCGGAAAATGAAGACACTTAATCATCAACTTTCCACATTGTGTTTTCATTTTAGCTGACCTTTACCAAGCAGCATAAGGTGATGGGGGGTCTTTTCTGCTTTGGTATCCCTTCACGACCATTCTGTCCAAATTCTTAGTCGACTTATATGAAATTATGTTTTAAATAACATTATCAAATACATCAGTTAAATTAATAATCTCTGTACAATTTAATCCTAGTAATACAGGTTCACATGTGTTACGACTGTTAATTCAGTGTTACAGGGTAATATCCTTTTGTATTTACATCAAGGTTCCAGACATTAATCACTTGCTTCTGTCTGGCATCCAATGCTGAATAAAGAATATTTCCAAATATATATGTGGTGTATACGAATATATATTACAGATGAATGCATTTCTCTATCTATGCATGCATTCATGCATATTTTGATATTCCCTGAACTAAATGCCAAAGATATTAATCTTGTTTCAAATTAATGTTAACAATAAATTGAATTAATGACTGCAAAGTTGTATAGAACTTGTTGATTCTTACCTTTTTCTGCCGTTCTTATATCAGTGAAGCCTGAAAAAAAACGAAACATAGTGTTTTAAAACAAAAAAGCATTCTCACTTTTTTAGCTATTGGAATACTTAAGCTGGAGTAACCGATATACTCAAGGCCTCAGTTTAGCATTATCTTCCATTGGTGATTGAAGCTTTCAGATGGATTAACAATCATTACCAAGACACCTGCTGAGAATATGCCTCGAAACCTTACCTTCATCATCAAGCTTGTCACTGTTGTTTCCGATTGCCATTCTCGTCGTGTCACACAGTCGATTGCACAGTGTCTTCAAATAAATCAACATAAGGTTTTGAGTTTGAAAAAAGCAGTTGAAGGGGAACGAATTTTGTGTCACCGTTTGCTTTCACAAACCAATACATTAAGTCTTTCTTTATTTTCCCGCCTTTGGTGTCCATACCAGTATTGTTCCCTGTATATACACGAGAATTATGCTAATCTGGAACACAATCAGCTGCTAATTTGAACGCAATCAAAATCAAGATCACAATCTGGAGACAATCTGTATACAATCAGATTGCAAACTGGACACAATCAGTTGACAGTCTGTAAGTCGCGGGTTCGAGACTAGCTGCTTTTCCGACAGATGTCTTCTCAATTGATGTGCTAAAAATGCACAAGACAATCCTTAAAACATCACATGAAGAACGTTTCTGTACGAATTACATTCTGCAGATTTATCCTAAGCCATAACATTATTTCTGGAACCACATGCTAGTCTAGTTACTGCTGCACTTTTACGATCCTGAGATTTGACTATTTTTATTATTATAAAGATTGCAGTGAAGTCAAATTTCTATCGATGGTATGGTCAAATGAAACGTCATATAATAACAAAATGTAAGTTTCTATCTTAGAAATGTCTTAGCTTTTCCTTATTAAGAAAAAGAAATATAATCCCGATCAGCCATAGTATAGGTGGTCAATATATATAAAATATACCAATGCCCTGATGTTTTTTTTCTACAACTCATACTGCTAAATGAACACCACATTTAGTTCCATGTCAGTAAACGAATGGCATTGATATTTTTGTGGTTAACTTTATTTCGGTGTTTACTATTTTTGCCATTATTCTTATGCACATATTTGGGACAATCATGTCGTGTTTCGAACTTTAATGAAACTTGTACGTCTGGAAGTTACAAGTACTGGCACCGTTCCAAAATCTTCTTACAACAATCTTACAAGGACTGAAGTTCAAAGTCATGTAATGGCTTTGATTTTTTTCTCAGTATAAACATGAAATGAAAGGATACCATCATACTAGAACTAATGTTTGTTCAATTATTACACTCAAGCGAATAGAAAATTTGCCCATCTGTAACCAAAATGACACAGAATATTACTGCAGGTATATCTGATACCTTTTTGTGTCTCTGCATATCATCACATCTTGAAAAAGGGTTTCCTACATTCTGGACAATATAGTGGCTCTATGGTGACTTGAGTAACACTGGGATTCAGAAAGATGTCTCTGTTATTTTGGGTGGTGCTGTTTTCATAGTTTCTGATGGCCTTATCTTGTGTTGGTAGATGAACAGTTTTCGTTTGTCGGAGCATGGCATATATTCTCGAAAATAATGCCCATTCAATTCTACGATCCCTTGCACGTGCTATTACATCTTTTCATATCCCCCATGTTCCTCTATGCGACAGATTGTATCACAGATTTCACTCCACTTCTTTTTTTGGTCTTTTTCATGACAGTTCTGTTCTGTATATATTTCACTTGCTTGCTTTTTCTTTTTAGTTTGGGACGAAAACCAGCTACACTTATATCCTGAGACAGAGAGGTTGATCTTGTACCCATGCCAATCTGAAAGCATCCTCAGCTAAAAATGCGTTTTATTGTCCGTCGATATTAGCTTCATATAAAACACAACTCGCAATTGTAGAAAACATATTTCAGAAAGTGGAGATGGACACTTATTTTCTAGCTGAATAACCTCATGTTCAACGAAACATTGTTCTTAAGTTTAAAAAAAAACGATTACCAAAAAAAACTCAAGTTATTGTTTCTTCACAGCGATGTTAAAACATATTAGTTTCAATGCTAAACACATTAAAATGCAGATAATAGGTACTTTGTATGTAATATGTTTTACCTGATTTTTTAGCCGTCACCATAGGATGCATAACAATATTTATAAACAATCATACCACATTTCCATATAATACAACTTATTCTACTGACTTCACATACATGTTATCTTTCAATCATTGTTTTAACATTATGTTGAAAAAGGTAAAGGGGGCATAACACTTAAGTCGAAGTTTCCCTCCAAGAATATCCTGGTAGGTACAGAATATGTACATGTATTTGCAACAACAAAATTTAATATGAATTCATGCCATCTAAAAGCAAAGTCACATTTTGACTTCTTATTATGTTTTAAAAATACAGTATCTTGTAGTACAAATACAATTTATTACAGCGAGACATATTGCCAAACATTTAGGCTCATTTTCTTCAAAGTCGCATTTTCAGACGTTTGTGTTATAATTGCAGCTTTTAGATACAATGTATCACCAGTACATCCCCAACTCTAACTGCACCAGTACACATTTACTTACCCCTAGCCTCACAAGTACACCACCCAACTCAAACCTCACCAGTACACGTTTACTTACCCGTAGACACACCAGTACACCCCCAACTCTAACCTCACAAGAACACGTTTACTTACCCCTAGCCTCACCTCACATCAACCAACCCTCACCTCACCAGTACACGTTTACTAACCTCTAGCCCCAACAGTACACCCCCAACTCTAACCTCACCAGTACACGTTTACTTACCCCTAGCCTCACCAGTACATCCCCCAACCCTAAGATCACCAGTACACGTTAACTTACCCCTAGCCTCACCAGTACATCCCTCAATCTTAACCTTACCAGTACACGTTTACTTGCCCTAGCCTTAAAGTACACCCCCAAATCTAACCTCACCAGTACACCTTTACTTACCCCTAGCCTCATCAGTACATCAACCAACCCTCACATCACCAGTACACGTTTACTAACCCATAGCCTCACCATTACACACCCCAACTTTCACCTCACCAGCATATGTTTACTTACCCCTAACCTCACCAGTACATCCCCAGCTCTAACCTCACCAGTACACGTTTCCTTACCCCTAGCCTCAACAGTACACGTTTACTTTCCACTAGCTTCACCAGTACATCCCAAACTCTAACCTCACCAGTACACGTTTACTTACCCCTAGCCTCAACAGTACATGTTTACTTTCCACTAGCCTCACCAGTACATCCCCAACTCAACCCGTACCAGTACACGTTTACTTACCCCTATCTCACCAGTACACGTTTACTTTCCACTAGCTTCACCAGTACATCCCAAATTCTAACCTCACCAGTACACGTTTACTTACCCCTAGCCTCAACAGTACATGTTTACTTTCCACTAGCCTCACCAGTACATCCCCAACTCAACCCGTACCAGTACACGTTTACTTACCCCTATCTCACCAGTACACGTTTACTTACCCCTAGCTTCACAAGTACACACCCAACTCAAACCTCACCAGTATACGTTTACTTACCCCTAGCCTCTCCAGTACATGCTTACTTTCCACTAGCCACACCGGTACGCTTTTACTTACACCTAGCCTCACCAGTACACTTTTACTTACCCCTAGCCTCACCAGTACACCCCCAACTCTAACCTCACCAGTACACGTTTACATACCCCTAGCCTCAGCAGTACACTCCGAACTCTAACCTCACCAGTACACGTTTACTTACCCCTAGCCTCACCAGTACACCCCCAACTCTAACCTCACCAGTACACGTTTACTAACCCCTAGACTCACCAGTACACGTTTACTTGCGCCTAGCCTCACCAGTACACCCCCAACTATAACCGCACCAGTACACGTTTACTTACACCTAGCCTCACCAGTACAAGTTTACTTACCCCTACCCCACCAGTACACGTTTACTTGCGCCTAGCCTCACCAGTACACCCCCAACTATAACCGCACCAGTACATGTTTACTTACACCTAGCCTCACCAGTACACGTTTACTTACCCCTAGCCTCACCAGTACACGTTTACGTGCGCCTAGCCTCACCAGTACACACCCAGCTCTAAGCGCACCAGTACACGTTTACTTACCCCTAGCCTCACCAGTACACGTTTACTTGCGCCTAGCCTAACCAGAACAACCCCAACTCTAACCGCACCAGTACACGTTTACATACCCCTAGCCTCACCATTACACCACAAAAACTCTAACCTCACCAGTACACGTTTACTTACCCCTAGCCTCACCAGTACACGTTTACTTGCGCCTAGCCTCACCAGAACAACCCAAACTATAACCGCACCAGTACACGTTTACATACCCCTAGCCTCACCAGTACACCCCCAACTCTAAACGCACCAGTAAACGTTTACATACCCCTAGCATCACCAGTACACCCCCAAATCTAACTTCATCAGTACACGTTTACTTACCCCTAGCCTCACCAGTATACCCCTAACCCTAACCGCACCAGTACACGTTTACTTACACCTAGCCTCACCAGTACACGTTTACTTACCCCTAGCCCCAAAAGCACGACCCCCGACTCTAACCGCACCAGTACACGTTTACTTGCCCCTAGCCTCACTAGTACACGTTTACTTACCCCTAGCCTCACCAGTACGACCCCCAACTCTAACCGCACCTGTACACTTTTACTTACCCCTAGCCTCACTAGTACACGTTTACTTACCCCTAGCCTCACCAGTACGACCCCCAACTCTAACCGCACCTGTACACGTTTACATACCCCTAGCCTCACCAGTACACGTTTACTTACCCCTAGCGTCACTAGTACACGTTTACTTACCCCTTCCCTCACCAGTACACACCCAACTCTAACCGCACCATTACACGTTTACTAACCTCTAGCCTCAACAGTACACCCCCAACTCTAACCTCACCAGTACACGTTTACTTACTCCTAGCCTCACCAGTACATCCCCGAACCCTAAGATCACCAGTACACGTTTAGTTACCCCTAGCCTCACCAGTACACCCCCCAATCCTATCCTCACAAGTACACGTTTACTTGACCCTAGCCTCAAAGTACACCCCCAAATCTAACCTCACCAGTACAAGTTTACTTACCCCTAGCCTCATCAGCACATCAACCAACCCTCACATCACCAGTACACGTTTACTAACCAATAGCCTCACCAGTACACACCCCAACTCTAACCTCACAAGCACACGTTTACTTTCCCCTAACCTCACCAGTACATCCCCAACTCTAACCGCACCACTACACGTTTACTGACCCCTAACCTGACCAGTACATCCCCAACTCTAACCTCACCAGTACACGTTTACTTACCCCTAGCCTCACTAGTACACATCCAAGTCTTACATCACCAGTACATGTTTAGTTACCCCTAGCCTCACCAGTACACGTTTACTTGCCCCTAGCCTCACTAGTACACCCCCAACCGTAACATCATCAGTACTTTTACTTACCACTTAGTTCACCAGTACACGTTTACTTGCCCCTAGCATCACCAGTACACCCCGAACCCTCACCTCACCAGTACATGTTTAATTTCCACTAGCCTCACCAGTACATCCCCAACTCTAACCGCACCAGTACACGTTTACTTGCCCCTGGTGTCACCAGTATACGTTTACTTACACCTAACCTCAGCAGTACATCCCCAACTCTAACCTTACCAGTACACGTTTACTTGCCCCTATCTCACCAGTTCACGTTTACTTACCCCTAGCTTCACCAGTACACCCCCAACTCTAACCTCACCAGTACACGTTTACATACCCGTAGCTTCTCCAGTACACCCCGAACTCTAACCGTACCAGTACACGTTTACTTACCCCTAGCTTCACCAGTACACCCTCAATTCAAACCTCACCGGTATAAGTTTACTTACGCCTAGCCTCATCAGTACATCAACCAACCCTCACATCACCAGTACACGTTTACTAACCAATAGCCTCACCAGTACACACACCAACTCTAACCTCACAAGCACACGTTAATTACCCCTAACCTCACCAGTATATCCCCAACTCTTACCTCACCAGTACACGTTAACTTGCGCCTAGCCTCACCAGTACAACCCCTAACCCTAACCGCACCAGCACACGTTTACTTGCCCCTAGCCTCACCAGTACACCCCCAACTCTAACCTCACCAGTACACGTTTACTTACACCTAGCCTCACCAGTACATGTTTACTTACCCCTAGCCTCACCAGTACACCCCCAACTCTAACCTCACCAGTACACGTTTACTTACCCCTAGCCTCACCAGTACACCCCCAACTCTAACCTCACCAGTACACGTTTACTTACCCCTAGCCTCACCAGTACACGTTTACGTGCGCCTAGCCTCACCAGAACAACCCCAACTCTAACCGCACCAGTACACGTTTACATACCGCTAGCCTCACCAGTACACCACCCAACTCTAACCTCACCAGTACACGTTTACTTACCCCTAGCCTCACCAGTACACGTTTACTTACCCCTAGCCTCACCAGTACACGTTTACTTGCGCCTAGTCTGACCAGTACACCCCCAACTCTAACCGCACAAGTACACGTTTACATACCCTTAGCCTCACCAGTACACCCCCAAATCTAACCGCACCAGTAAACGTTTACTTACCCCTAGCCTCACCAGTACACCCCCAAATCTAACTGCACCAGTAAACGTTTACTTACCCCTAGCCTCACCAGTACACCCCCAACTCTAACCGCACCATTACATGTTTACTTTCCCCGAACCTCACCAGTACACCCCCAAATCTTACCTCACCAGTACACGTTTACTTACCCCTAGCCTCACAAGTACACGTTTACTTGCCCCTAGTCTGACCAGTACACCCCCAACTCTAACCGCACAAGTACACGTTTACTTACCCCTAGCCTCACAAGTACAACCCCAACCCTAACCTCACGAGTACACGTTTACATACCCCTAGCCTCACCAGTACAACCCCAACCCTAACCTCACGAGTACACGTTTACATACCCCTAGCCTCACCAGTACACTCCCCAAATCTTACCTCACCAGTACACGTATACTTACCCTAAGTTTCACCAGTACATCATCCCTAGCCTCCCAAATACATGTCCCCTACCTGTAGCATCACCAATACATCTGCCCCAACACCTAGCCTCACCAACACATCTCCCCTACACCGAGCCTCAGCAATACATCTTTCCCCATCCCAGCATCACCAGTACATTTACACTACCCCTAGCCTCATCTCACAAACATCTTCCCTCACCCCTAGCCTCACCAATACCTCTCCCCTACCCCTAGCCTCATCTCACAAAAATCTTCCCTCACCCCTAGCCTCACCAATACCTCTCCCCTACCCCTAGCCTCAACAATACATCTTCCCTCACCCCTAGCCTCACCAGCAAATCTCCCCTACCCCTACTTTCACCAATACATCTTCCCTCATCCCCGGCCTTAACAATACATTTCCCTACCCTTAGCATCACAGGTACATCTCCTCCCCACCCTTAAGATCACCAATACATCTCCTCTACCTCAAGCCTCCCAGGTACATCTACCCTACCCGTAGCCTCAGCAGTACATCTGCCATCTTCCCTCACCCTTAGCCTCACCAGTACATCCCCCCTACCCCCAGCTCCACCAATACATCTCCCCTTCCTCTAACATCACCAGTACATTCCCCCTCCACTCCTGGCCTCACCCCTTCATCTTTACCAACTCCTAGTCTCACAACGACATATCCCGTACCCCAAGCATCACCAATGCATTTTCCCCACCCCTAGCCTCACCACTAACCAGTATCTCCCCCCAGCCCTAACCTCACCAGTATCTCCCCCCAGCCCTGGCCTCACCAATATATCTTCCCTAACTCCTAGCCACACCACTACATCTTCGCCCACGCCCACCATCACCAATACGTCTCCCCCATCCCCCACCATCACCAATACATCTTCTCCAACCCCTAGAATCACCACTACATCTCCCCCCAGCCCTGGCCTCACCAATATATCTTCCCTAACTCCTAGCCACACCAATACATCTTCGCCCACCGCCCACCATCACCAATACGTCCCCCCCATCCCCACCATCACCAATACATCTTCCCCAACCCCTAGAATCACCTGTACATCTCCCCCAGCCCTGGCCTCACCAATACATCTTCGCCCACTCCTAACCTCACCAGTGTCTCCCCCCAGCCCTAACCTCACCAGTATCAATCCAGCTCTGGCCTCACCAATACATCGCCCCCACCCCTAGAATCACCACTACATCTCCCCCAGCCCTAACCTCACCAGTATCTCCCCCCAGCCCTGGCCTCACCAATATATCTTTCCTAACTCCTAGCCACACCAATACATCTTCGCCCACGCCCACCATCACCAATACGTCTCCCCCATCGCCACCATCACCAATACATCTTCCCCAACCCCTAGAATCACCACTACATCTCCCCCAGCTCTGGCCTCACCAATACATCACCCCCATCCCTAGAATCACCACTACATCTCCCCCAGCCCTAACCTCACCAGTATCTCCCCCCAGCCCTGGCCTCACCAATATATCTTCCCTAACTCCTAGCCACACCAATACATCTTCGCCCACGCCCACCATCACCAATACGTCTCCCCCATCCCCACCATCACCAATACATCTTCCCCAACCCCTAGAATCACCACTACATCTCTCCCAGCCCTAACCTCACCAGTATCTCCCCCCAGCCCTGGCCTCACCAATACATCTTCCCTAACTCCTAGCCACACCAATACATCTTCGCCCACGCCCACCATCACCAATACGTCTCCCCCATCCCCCACCATCACCAATACATCTTCTCCAACCCCTAGAATCACCACTACATCTCCCCCCAGCCTTGGCCTCACCAATATTTCTTCCCTAACTCCTAGCCACACCAATACATCTTCGCCGAACGCCCACCATCACCAATACGTCCCCCCCATCCCCACCATCACCAATACATCTTCCCCAACCCCTAGAATCACCACTACATCTCTCCCAGCCCTAACCTCACCAGTATCTCCCCCCAGCCCTGGCCTCACCAATACATCTTCCCTAACTCCAAGCCACACCAATACATCTTCGCCCACGCCCACCATCACCAATACGTCTCCCCCATCCCCCACCATCACCAATACATCTTCTCCAACCCCTAGAATCACCACTACATCTCCCCCCAGCCTTGGCCTCACCAATATTTCTTCCCTAACTCCTAGCCACACCAATACATCTTCGCCGAACGCCCACCATCACCAATACGTCCCCCCCATCCCCACCATCACCAATACATCTTCCCCAACCCCTAGAATCACCTGTACATCTCCCCCAGCCCTGGCCTCACCAGTATCTCCCCCCCAGCCCTGGCCTCACCAATAAATCTTCCCCAACCCCTAGAATCACCACTACATCTCCCCCAGCCCTAACCTCACCAGTATCACCCCCCAGCCCTCGCCTCACCAATACATCTTCGCCCACCCCTAGCCACACCACTACATCTCCCCCGACCCCCACTATCACCAATACGTCTCCCCTACCTCTAGTATCACCAATACATCTTCCCCAAGGCCTAACCTCACCAGTATCTCCCCCCACCCCACCCCCAGCCCTGGCCTCACCAATACATCTCCCCTGCCTCTAGCATCACTAACACAGCTCCCCTACTCCAAGCAGCACCAATACATCTTCCCCCACCCCCTAGCCTCTCCTGTCCTTTTTTCCCAAACCATAGCCTCACCAGCACATCTCCCCTAACCCTTGACTCACCACATCTCCCCTGCCCATAGTGTCACTAATACATCTCCCCAACCCAACGTATTTACATTGGTGCACCTTACCTTAATAATCAACAAACGATAATAAAATTGAATAACCAAACTAGCAGCCTACAGTTAGTTGACCTGTAATTACTTCCATTGTTTTTATCCCCTATCTTCGCTGTATTACAGAAATCTACCTAACTTTTCACATGGACTGAACTGGGCGATAAATCAAAGTCAGCAGAGTATTACATGTACAGTAAACTTTAAATAGTAATGATTTCAGAAATAACACGGAAGAAATGGCCATAACTGGCAGGACTCCGTGAAAGTGGCGGGCAGAGTGCATTCTAAATCCCGCCCCTTCTGAGGAACACCAGACATTAATCATTTGACTATCTGCATGTACAGAAACATAGCAACTAGCGGAGACTGCTTTCGAAAAAATAACTTACCGCATCTAAATTCACAGATCAACTACCCAGTTCCAGTTGCTGCACAATCACTTGGTTGTAATATATCCAGGGCTTGGACCAAGATGGCTGGTGACACTGTAGCTCCCCCAATAATGTGACGTCACTCCGACGACTTTACTTCACGAGATAACAAGTCTGGCGCTCTCATACCGCATAAAGTTAGTTGACTGTAATATTGCTTATGACACTATATGACAAAACAGCGACTAACAAAACATGTTTTATCTTTCTCATGTATGCTTTATTTTCATTCAACATTTTTTTATGCAGATTTTTTCGGAAATACATTTTCATGTTTAAATAAAATGAAACCATATGTGGAAGGCTCATGCCGCTGATCGGTACATGTGACAGTGAAAAGTGTCAGTGAGCTGACCCCCATCACTGTGTTATTGTTTATATCCCCTTCCAGCAACAGCTGTATTGTGACGAAAATGTCCTTTATCTGATAGATAAGGGTTGATAGGGTTGAGGAGACATATACTCACACAGGTTTTTCCCAAAGCATTGACAACATTTTTTGTCTTATTATTGTACTTATTCACATATATAATATTTACTCACATTTTACATTATTTGTCTAGTACATACTAGCCAGTATAATACACCATATTCATTCATATAATATATATTTCTTTTTTCGAAAGTAAATCATACCGTAAGATTAGTTTGGCCTAGAAAGTCTATACTGTGGGGGTTTATAGTTAAATTGAACTCTTTTAAAAATATACATCAAACAGTTAAGATCTCCTGAATAAGTTTTCCTATATTTCCCCACCACCAACACCTCTCGCTACCTATATTTAAGTACAATCAAGTACACTTTTCTATTTCAACATGCATGTCCCAGTGTTTTTCAATTGAATTCAAATATGCGTTTTTATTCTATTTCTCCACTCTGGGTGATCCTAAATAAGACCCCCCCCCCCCCCCCCCCCCCCCACACACACACACACACACACACACACACACCCCTCCGGCTGCGCACCGCCAGTCTCCTGTCAACACGTCAAGGCCTACTGATTACAGTACATTAATAATGTGATGCCACATCTCAAAATAAACATGAACAAATCTCCCACTTCCTCACTGATAAAGACGAGGACGCCTGGACGACTAGTTTATCTGCAAGCTGTAGCAGGCAACACTTTACTTCCGGCTGGGAATGCAGTTATATTATACAATCTCTGTTCACCGCAGATACGCCAAAGTGTTTGCAACTGGTTGAGACCGATCGGTGAACAGTCAGCGAATCTTGTTGCAACTGAACGGGGACTGGTCGGTGACTAGTTGTCGATCGATCACCCATCAAAACATAATGCATATAAAAAGGGTGCTTTTCTCAATCAAATCATTTCTTTGCAAGTTTAAGTTAACAGCAGAACAGTTACAGTTGCTCCGCCTGCAAAGAATAAATCAAAATGCAGCAGTTGCTGCCGCGATTGTGTACTGAAGAATGAGAAGGACAGGGCGAAGGCAGTATTGTCTGAGACCTTGGATCACAAGAAGGCCACAGGAGACTGTGGGAATCTGAGGGCAGAGTGGTGATTTCGTGGCATCCTCAGAATGGAGCCTGTCATGTTTCACGAACTCGTACAAAGACTCACACCATTGATGACCAAAGAAGACACTGTTTCGAGATGATCTTTGAGTCCCGGGCTGAAGCTTTTTGTCAACCTTCGGTTCCTGGCAACTGGAAACAGTTATCACAGCTTGGCCTTCTCATTCAAAGTGGCTTTGGTTTGGTTGGTTGGTTTGTTGTTTAACGCCGCACTGAGGAATATTGCAGCTATTTGACGCCGGTCTGTAAACAATCGCGTCTGGACCAGACAATCCAGTGATTAATATCATGATCATCGATCCACGATATTGGGATCGATGACATGCATCAACAGAGGCACACAAGACAATATCAGTATTTGTTCGTGAAGTTTGAGAAACAATCATCGAAGAGTCTGTCGATGAAGTAGTGAAGACACCCTCAAAACCTAAAGAGTGGCCTCAATTGAGTGACAAATTCGAGTCAAGATGGATCTTTCCACATGCAGTTGGGTCCACAGATGGAAAGCATGTCGCCCTTAGAGCACCCAGTGAATCTGGCTCCCTCTGTTGGCTCAATTGTAGCTGACCTGTGCACCACAGCAGTTGTCTCTATTGTATCGTTTACAATTTCTGGTTCTTTTGGGTTCCTGCCTTTACGGACCATAGTAATGAATGGAAATAATTGATGTAAAATCTCTGAGTACTTATGACCAAAGGATGCTGTAATGCACAGACATTTTTATAAATGGTGACATGTTGTAAACCCAACGGCAAATGTTCGACGCACGCATGGAAACCACTTTGCAACCGATCAACAACCAGTCACCGATGACGCGTCAGTCGATCACCGTCTCATCACTGATCAATCACCGATAGGTCACCACTAGGTTGCAAAGAGTCAACACCCTTGCTCGCCGTACAGTGGAAACCAGTCTGCGATTAAAATAACACCACTTAGGGACCTCTAGGAGACCTGTAGGAGACCAATAAAACCTCCGCGCAAATCGGTCTTTTCTGCATGTTTAAAAGACTGGATGCGACCGAATGGGTTTTGTTACCGCTCTGAAACCTTTTAGCGACCTCAATGAAACCTTTCAGAGACCCCTGAAACCTCATTGTGATTGTCAAATATTTTGGTCGCCAGGAGGTTCCATCGCGGTCGCATCGTCTGTGTGACTGGGGCTCACCAATGATCAAATTTTCATTGGAAATAAAAGGAGAAACATGGTTTCTTCAAATCTTAATGAAATACAACACATTGGTAAACAAATATATTTACAAGGGTAAACACGATTATCTTAGTAGTAAAGTCGCGAAAACTACAGTCACATCATGATATGCTTCTTCTGCATAACTCCCAACCTGTAAAATTGATCGTATGCATGTTGCTATTCGTTTGAAATTAAATACTATTCAGTCCAATCTTATCACAGATACAGCTACTGAAACATCGCTTGAAAAACACATTATATTATGTTCGTAGTTTCTGAGTCTAATCTAACTGATGAAATCTTGGAAAATAAAAACAGTCAGACCGCCAAAAAATGTGTTTCTAATCATTTTGATATCTTCGACATTGCACGGTTTCCCTGCCTTTTAAAGTGTTTTATAACCAAATTTTGGTGAAAATGGCCTTGTTTAAAAAGTGCAAATAAAACAAATAACTACTTAAATAACAGTGAATATTTATAAATACATGCAATAACACTCTAATTGAAGTCTCAAAAGCGCTAAATATGAATTTCTGAGCTCTGATATTATTACCAGTTAACTCCAAAATTCTGAAACGGAAGAAAACAGTGACCCGCTGGGTTTGAAAAAACGATACGATAAGAAACATTTCTTTAATGTTTTGGGCTTAAAATATGTAAGCGTTTGACGCTAACAAATGCAACACATTTTATAACTGGTAGTATTTTGTTCACGATGTTCACATGTTTTTCCTGATTCACCAACTTCAAAGAAACAGTTCAGTTTGACCACGATCATTTCGTGCTTGTTGGTCATCAAAAACTATTTCCGTTCTTTGATCACACCCGCCAGCACGAGTTTTCCGCCCTTCTTCACTTTCTCACCCTCCCTTCCCTCCACCCCAACCCGTTATTGCTCAGCTATTTATTGCGACTTCAATTCCGATCAAAATAGAACAGGAGTAATCAGTCCCGATTTTTCGCTACCTGAAAGAAGGCGTATATCCCACAAAACAGAAGACTGAAAAGCGTAGTTTTCGAAAGAAGTGTAAAAAGTAATGCTAAGAGTCGTACAAAAGTCGGAGACACCGCTGCACGCCCATCCAACAGGCGATCACTTGGGAGTATACAAAACGTAAGTTTAGATATGTTTCATGATGACAAATCAAAATCATGATGTACGCACTGATTCATAAAACCTTAATTCTACACAGATAACGTTGGTAACTGTCGGTATACAGACAATGACTTCAAAGGCCTTGGATGTCGTACCTTGACATATACAGTCAAAGTCTGATGATATATCCATACTTTATTTTGCATAACCAGCTGATAACCTACAATAAAAACTAAAGTATAGTGTGTCTTGGTTTTCTTAAATCACATTTTCAATATATCGGGCTCCATAAATAAAATAAATGTATATCGGGCACATTTGAAAGTGAACAGGGACACTTTATTTTTAGGATATACTGTAAACAGCTTTATTTCTGCGCCAATAAAATATTGCGAATACCACACCAAAGACAATACTGCGACGAGATATTTTTGCGTGTTGCCGTGTTGAGATGACCCCTCGATTACCAAAATATCTCTCCGAAGCTAGTTAATCTGAGTTAACCGGAAGGGATTGCGACCAATTATCAAATACGATAATTGACTCAACTCAGTGTCATGAATGCAAACTACATGTATATAAGAAGGATTTTAATGAAAGTTCAGACCCGCCCACGTAGGAATATACGGTAATGAAAACGCCGATAAAGCAGCTAAACTATCCCTCAAAATCCCAGAAATGAGGTTAAACTTACCCATCTCAAAATCAGAAATTAAAAGTGTAAACAAGCAAAAAATCACAAAAAATGGCATAACCTATGTCTAAACTCAAATAGCCAAATCAAAAAAGTGCTCAGCAAACCACTAACCAAACCTAAAATTCTCCATCCATCAAAATAAATCGACAGAGTAATCACTAAACTCCAAACAGGACACACCAACCTAAATAACCACCTGAAAAAAATAACACACTACAGGTAACTGCCCACACTGCAAACAACTAGAAATCCCAGAACACGCACTCATTCCCTGCACACACTACCTAACACATCGAACCGCATTACAAACCACCCTCAATCTAAGCAAGGCTCTCACTCTAGAAGCAATACTAAACCCACAAAATAAACTAGAAAACTTCAAGGCCTCAGGCGTTTTCTTAATAAAAACGGTGCTAAGAAAACGCATCTAAAAACACAATAACCTACCAAATCAAAATCACAGAAACAAACAAACATCCACCATACCCAGCTCCCTTAGTTCTCCTCCCCAACCCCATCGGCATCTATTCCAAATCTCAAAATTCCTAAATTCTATATAAGCAACC